TGTATCCACATTAAGCACAGTCTCCATAGAGCTTAACAATTGCCTGGACTAAGGCCCAGCTAGTCCAGAAGTATGCTTCTCATGGTGGCTTGACACATGTAACTTATGGATGGTACTCAAAAAATTTTTCATTTGTATGAACAGAAGCTTACCCATTATTTCAGTGTTTTCTTGTTTAATCCTAAAAATGTTGAGTTGATATCTGATATAAACAAAGCCAATCCTCTAAGATGCTCTACTATTATATCCAGCAAGGAAAACATCAATTGTCTCTGTATTGAAAGGGTGTCTAGAGCTGAAAGTTTAGTTTGGGTTTGCTAATTGTAAACCATGACTGCTTAAATATCACAGGGAAAGGCAGTGGCTGATTTTTGGTCCAGATATTCTAAATCCTGATTAAAATAAAGGAATTAGCATCTCAGAAAAGGCTTTTTCTACATCTTATTTCTTATACCACTGTGTTCAAATAATATTAATTTTATATGAAGCATTGGCAGTGTATCCCCTTGATGATCATATTGAAATAGCTGTTCTGTTGGCCAGAAGCCAGTCTAACCCGCCTGCCCCCACAAATAAATAAATAATCTCTTGTGCACAAAAAGGGCAGGGGAGTTGGAGTTTTCTTTTTGTTTGTATTCATTAATCTTTGTTTTATTTTCTTGGCTTTTATTTTTAAAATAATAGGTGCATCACAGAACAATACCAGACATTTGTAACTGTAATTTATGCAGAAAATTGTTTCTTTTATACATGCCCAGTCCACATCTTTCAGTTATAATACCCACTAGGTATAGATTTCTCTTGCTGGCCTCATTCTCCCTCTCATCTGCTTTGTGGAAAAGTGTTTTATCATCTTTGATAAATGGAGTATGTGTGGCATTATGCCCGGCTGGTGTTATTTTCTGAATCATTAACTCATATTTCCACATTCAGGAAATTCATGAAAAGCTTCTCATCTACCCAGAAAGTTTGTGATTCCCAAATTCACTGCTTTATAAAAAAAGCCTTCTTCTGAAAGGCTTAGTGTAGAGTTTGCAAACTAGATTCTCTGAAGTAGAATAGCTATTGTGCCTTTCATATATGAGGAATTTTTAGCATAAGTATTTATCTATTTTTCCAATTCTGTAGGCCTCAGCTCAGCTCTGTACAAACATTGCCATACCCAGAATCCCAACATGGCTTTTTTGGATTGCCTAGTAGGCATATTTGTCTTTGTTTTCACCTCTTAATGATAGCAGGAACAGTTTCTCAGCATCAAGAGTTGCTTTTGGAATGAATTTTGGAGTGGCTTAAATAAAACATGTTGGCAAGCATACCAATGTACTTAGAAATTTTCTTCTGATAGACCATAACAACAGTCCAGTATCTATAGTTTGCACTCTGAGGCTTACAATCAGACACTTAGGTTCCTTCTGAAATCGATGGAGTTTCCACATACATCCTATATGCATGGTTACAACCATACAAATCAGTTTGTAAACAGGAGATTGCACTGTTTGTGTTCTGTAAACAGGGCAGATTCATGCAACACATCTTTCCCGAAACACATTTTTAAAAATCCAGCCATTCTTGGGCATATACTGATAATGGACAAAATAAATGGATGAACCAGGAAAACACAGGGATGGCTGGTAGCAGTTTCTGTATTCTTGGTAACACTTTCTCAGCCACCTGATTGACTGTCTGCACATAACTTTTGTCCATCCCAGTGCATACATAGAAATGGCCAAGACTATCCAAAAGATGTCAGAGTACCTATTACCATTTCCTTCATTGTTTCTAAATGCAAATATATCTTATCCAGTGTTTGTACTAACATCAGTACATAATTTTGTTTGGTAATCATATTGCAACTTTTGTACATTAAAATTTCATATAAAATTTCTCTGTGGTGGTATCCCGCCTATGGAATGCGCTCCCCAGAGAGGTCCACCTGGCGCTGCCGTCATTTGTTTTTCGGTGCCAGGCTAAGACCTTTTTATTTCAACAATATTTTAATACCTTTTAACATCGGCTTATAGGTTTTAATCTGCAGCCAGGGTGGATCTGATTTTATTTGTATTACGTTTTATTTTATTTTATGTAAGCCGTCCTGAGGCTATGTGATGGGACAGCATACAAATACTCTAAATAAATAATAAATAAATAAAATCCTAGGCATGCTTTGCTGAGTATACATGCTTAGAATTGTGTCGTTTCACTCATACCTGGAGTTATGAATAGCACTTGATATTAGAGTCAAATGAACATTGAGATTGTTGACTTCCTGTATTTCTACCTTTGTACTGTTAACTCGCATTGCAGACAAATGTTGCATATGTATTAAGTGACCACCTTTCCTTACACAGACCAGCAAAATCATTAAGCTCTTCAGTTGCCCTATTACTCCTGCCAATGCCCCATACATCGGAATCTACAGTAATACCTCAGTTCACAAAATATTCAGTTCGCAAAAGAAAGTCTGGCAAAATTTTGCTTCTGTTTGCAAACTCTGCATTGGGTGGCCATCTTTCCTGCACAAACACGATCGCGGCCATCTTCCTCGCACTGCAACCTCGTGTCAGAGCGTGTTTGAGTGGGGAAGATGGCCGCGTTTGTGTTCTCAGGAACATGAACGTGGTCATCTTCCCTGCTCTGACGTGGTCGCAGCCTCATCTGGTTGAGATCGCGGTCGCAGACTCTTCCTCCAAACAATAACCTCCTCCCTACCCACCTTCCTGTCCTCCATGCCAGAAGTTGCCTCAAGCAAGGTTAGTGTTCTCTCTCTTCATACTGTACTGTAGTGGACTTTATTTCATATTTTTGTGGTTAAAAAAAATACATATGGTTCAGATTGAATCTTATGGGGAAATTTGACTTGGTTCATGACCAATTCAGTTTGCGACCAGAATTGTGGAACAAATTAAGTTTGTGAAGCATCAAAATAAGGTTTCTTTTTGGGTGTGCTGGCCTTTCAGAAAGTTCTCTTGCCATCTTGTACAGCAAGTGTTGGCATTCCTGTGTGTTAAGCACCTCTTAGTTTTTTTTCTCAGTTGTTTCCCCAATCACTGAACATGGGATTTTAATGCCTTAAATTTATATTATGATTTTCGCTTGTTTTTCATTATAAACTGCTTTTAGATGTTGCATAATAAGCACAAAACTTACTCTAAAACATAATAAAATGCATAAATAGTACTGAATCCAACACTAGTGGCTAAGTTCAAGGTAGATGCATTTCTGTACAGCATAGGAAGTCTACATTGTATTAGAAAAGAGGACAATATTTGGAGAAGTCCCGAAAGAATGGGAAACCCAGGCACAGGAGTTATTTTTGTTTCCCTTAGGTACTTGGGACATGTAGCAGCATTTCACCCTTTCACTTCTAAAAACTAAAAAGAGAGTCTGTGACCCATAGCAAATAATCCTCACTTTTCTCCCAGCATTATAAGCTTTCCAAATTCTGGTTGCACTTTGCTGCTGCTGATACAGATTTTTAAAAGTCTTTATGGTTGTTCAGGGTCACCAAGGATGAAACTGCGGGTCAGAGCAAACTTCATAAATAATCCATACAATTTAAAAATCCTTTCCAAACTGTATTGAAATTTAAATAGGGTTGCAATAGGTCAGCAGTCTCCTTCAAAGATAATTGAGTGGTAGAATGAAGAATTAGGCACATGGGAAAATAATATTTTTTTTAGCAAAAGGAAAGTTCTCCTAATGAGATTATTCTATTATATGTTCAGATTTTCCATTTATTTTGAAGGGCTCATTTACTGCTCCAGCTGATGGTTAGGAATGGGGCAGCAACATATCCCATCTTCATGCTACTCACTAGTGAGACATGATCACAGGAGCCCAACAAAGAAAATTAAGATCTGGTTCATTCTTCTAGTTTACTCTTGGGAAGAAACCCAGGGAATGCATTTTGTCTTCCCTTCAGCTGTGATCTCAACAGCATCTCCTTACCTTCTTCCATAAACGTTAACTTACAATGTACAAAGTAAGCAATCTTCAATCTGCAGACCTTTAAAGGGAAAGGACCTGGGAGCAGACTAGGATGCTGTCCGCCCCAGCGGTCCTCCAGAGTTTGCCTCTTTACTCTCCCCCTGTACGTTGCAATGACATCACTCCTGTTGAGAAAACAAGACTCACTAGTGCAGGATGGGGAACTTTTGGTTTGTGGGCCCCATCTGGCCAGCAGAATTTCATCTGATTGCTTCAGCACCTGGAAAATTTGTTGCTCCTAACAATGATCTTGGAAATAATAGAGAAGGCCCTGTCTGCCACTCGAGTGACTGATGCCCAGGGAAACCCCAGCAGTTATGCCTGGTGACAATTGAAGATAGCGGCAGGGTTGTGAGTCACAACATGACAAGAACAGTGCTTACTGGGGGAGTTACTCTTCCCATCACCTGCAGAGGCTGTTTGTGCGTCACATAGTGCCCCATTTTATGGAAGCCACACAGGCGAAGCGTTCTTGACTGAGGTGGTAAGTGAAAAGCCCCAGCCACCACCTTGTTCGTGGCAACTTTGCCCTCACTGTCCTCTCCCCCATTAGTTACACCATAATTTGATTTTTGTAGGAAAGCTGGTTGGAAAGTTTTAGCTTGCGTTCTTCATTACAATTCCAGATTTTGACCCAGTTCATAAGTAACAACAATGCATCCGTTAAACAAACCATGGTTTGTTGTGGATGTTGTTGTGGGTGAGCATAAACATGCTGGTTCCTGCATGCTAGCTCCTGTCACTGTTCAGGAGCTAAACAGGTTTTAGGCAAAGACAATTACGATTTCTGTACTCTTCATAATTACAGATTACCTACCAGACTCTAGAATAGAAAGGCAGATGAAAACTACATGCACAGAATGAAGCACCTTAGAAAATATGATAAGGGGGGGGGGAAAAGCAAGAAACATTAAGAAACACTGAAGTGTCACATTATTTTGCTTTCGAATCAGGAAATTAAGATAAAGCAATACGGGCTCTTAATGATGTGTCCTGATATTTTTGCTTTCTAGGCATACCAGGTAGCGATTATATAAATGCTAACTACATAGATGGTTACAGAAAACAGAATGCATATATAGCCACTCAAGGAGCTCTCCCTGAAACATTTGGAGATTTTTGGAGAATGATGTGGGAACAAAGAGGCGCAACTGTTGTCATGATGACTAAACTGGAAGAAAGATCCAGGGTAAGATACCTTTGTGTTTGTGCAGTTTTGCAGGCCTTAAAAATGTGATGGGTGCTGACCATTCTCTAATTACTAGAAAAATATCTAATGATGTCTTCATTCAATCTAACTCTTTCCTTGAAATTATACTGTGCAAAAATAGGTTAATACTTCCTAAATGAATAGTGTTTGGTTTTAACAAATTTTCTCCTTTCAGCCTTCTCTGTATGGATAAATAGAAACGTTCAAGAACAATCCATAGAATTTCTAGCAAACAAGCTAGACAAGGACAAACAAGTCCTATGTATTTCACTGGCTTTGTGTAGGGAGAAAAAGTATTAAGTACATTAACAAGTCCTGGACCTTTTGTTTGTGTTGCAGTGATTGAGCTTAAATGGTGGAGAGACACTGCTCTTTGAATTTGTGCTGTATTTTTTTTTCCTTTTTTGCTTTGGAGTCCTGCAACTTGTGCATGGGATAGCAATTAGTGTTCCTAGTGAAATGCCATAACTTTCACTGACAGCACATATCAGTCATCCATATCACATTGGCTTATTGCCTAACATTGGGAGGCAGACTGGGATGAGATTTTTAAAAAGATGATAATCTGTGACAGCAGATCTGGCTTGATGACTTAGCATGCTTGTTTGATATCTGCAGTTAGAAAACTCGTCAATGCTACAGTGAGCACCGATTGCATTAAGCAAATGTATCCTGAAGTCCTGTGTGTTATTCAGGCTTTTAAAAGTAATTTTGCTAATTTCCTCTTACTAAAAATGTTATGGAGGTACATTTGGCAATCAACCAATAGCATGACATTGTTGAATTGCTTAATGCTGCTATGCATATTCAAACCATAATAACGTTGCTACTTTCAAATGTCTTTTGGTAATGGTGACTCCAGTGTAGAAGAAATTTTCATCAGCTTACTCTATTTTATCTTGGCCCAGCAGACTGTAGTCAGCGTCAATGTAGAAAGTTGTCTTGAGTTTGGCAAATGAATTCTGCCTTTTTGCTCATTATCTGCTTCTAATAATAAGGTAACTTCTCAATTGTATCAGTGCTGCTACCCACTGTGAGGGGAGCACAGGGTTCTTTGCAGAAGACTTTGTTACTTAAATGCTTACCATTTATCATAATGCTGCAGACCACTACTAGAACATTCACAGAAACATTGGGTTAGTCCACTTATTAATTGCTTTTTGCATTTCCCAGTTAACTCCAGGGTGTTCAATTGTTCTTTCCAAAGGGCTGGTCAGAATAACAATGCCCTTAGCATATACTTTTACATTTACAGCACATGCTGTGAGTTTCGGAGCTTAGTTGGCATTAGGGATGTAGGAGAATTTCATTTGCCTTTGTTTTTGGCTCAGATGTGCTCTGTTCACACTGCCAAACAAGTTCCACTAGCACATTTTATTCAGCAAAAGTTTGCATGTTCCCAGACTTGCAGAGCATTAAGCAATGTGCATTTTACCAAAACTATACACATTTTCACACTTTTGGTTTGAAAGGCAAGTATATGTTTGGGTGTTTATTTTCAACAGGCACTTTCCACAATGTGCACACTTTTCCCATTCCAATGAGAATAAAAAGTAAATAGTAATCAAAAACGGAACCAAGGCAGCTGAGGCTTCAAGGTGGGTCCTAGGAGCACCTCATGGAGCTCCAGCCTTGCTGAGTCTCTCACACCCGGTTGGCAGGTGTATCATGGGACTGGTATCTCTCAGTTAAGGTGGGCTTTTAGTTGTCAGTGAAAGACCGGAATTTAATCCATGCTCTCTGCTCAGTGGCTGCCCATATATTTGAAGCACGGTAGTCTCCCTTGTAGCTGTTTCATGTCCTGAATACAAAGGCTATTCCGATTTCTTGATTCTCTGTAAGGGTGTGTAGGGCCAGTCAACACACTTCGCGACACAGTAAGTTGAACACTGCCCTTCATCAGCCACGTGTGGTGGCCTGCCAGGCTCTCAGTATAGCTTTGTTTTTCCCTCCATGACTCGGATCGCGGTGCCATGTCTGCAGGCCACAAGCAGTGTCTGAAGGGCTTCAGTCAGTCTGTTTGGCCCACATTCCACAGGCCAGATAGGAGGCAGTGTTGTGGGATGAGTGGAAGGACTTGTAAAAGCCTCTAGCATCCGGAAGGAGCATCCCATTGCCCTTACAGAAAGAGGTACGGGCTTTGCATGCATCCCAAGAGTGTGCTGGATGGGTACTCGAGAAGTGCTTCTCTCTTCCTCTGCCGAAGGCAGTGAAGTTTGCCTTGGGGCAAGAAGAGTGCAAGCAGTGGCCTCAGCCCTAGCAGAGCACTGTTGCTGCTGCGGCTGCTCTTTCCCCCGTGGGCGACTCGTAGGCTCCTTCTCCATTTGCTTTTCAGAAGGTTCTTAAAACATTCATTGTCTTTGTGGTCAGACTTTTGAGCTCTCCTTAGATACTTGACTGTTGGGTTTTGCAGCTTGCCATTGCTTGTTTATATTCCTTTATTGTTTTTCATATACATCACTCTTATCTCCTTAGGAACTAAGAGTGGGATGTAAATGATTTCTGACTGAACGCAGCCTGTCACTCATGTATCATGATCCACAAAGGGTTCAGCAAACCTCCTGTTCTTGCCTGGCTAGGAATGAAGACGTGAGGGTGGAAGGGAGATTTATCAGACATCGTGGGTGGGCTTTGTTCAGTTTCTTGGGTTCGGATTGTACAGCCCTGACGACCTAAGATACTGTAATTTTCATGTTTCAATCTCACAAAGACAAAATAGCCCAAATAAGATGAAAACAACCATTAAAATACAGTTTGACGTTCTAGCAATGCTGTGATTCATTGGTTTTTGTATTCTGCTGTGCTTGGGAGACAGAGAGCAAGAGTAAGAAGCTTGCTTCCCCTGTACTGGCAGACCTGATAATTATTTTATCATGAAGGCAAAAGCATTCTGCCGTGGGACTTCATCTTCTTTCCATCTTCCACTGCATTTTTGTTTACTTGCTTTCCCTTTGCTCAGTCCTGCAGTTTTGCTTCTGCATTTCTAACCTGTGCTGCATAGATAAAGGGATTTGAGGCAGAGGCAGGGGTGGAGGAAAAGCATCAGCAGAAACAAACTTAGTTGGTTCATTAGCATGTGTTAGATGTCTGACTAACCCCAGCTTTGAGAACTTACATATTCAACAGCTGAGTACATTGAATGAAGATGTTACAGTGAATTAGTTATTCATTTGTTTGCCTATGGGGAAGCTGCAGGGCAAGAGGAGCGCTTTCATTTATAACCCTTCACACTTTATTGTTTTCACTTTAAATGTCATCTCCCAAATCTCACCTGACCTAATCCAGACCTCAGAGAGAAAATCAGTCCATTACTTCGCTATCACACACATAATTTATATCAAAAAGGATTATATACTCTGCAGTGCATGGCAGAATATTGATAACATATTTATTACATGCATGAGTTTCATTTGTATGAAATGAAAAGAAAATATTAAGGAGTGGAAACTAGAGATTAGAAAAGCAGCTGACAGTTACAGGGCAGGAATACATAAAGCAATTTAAAGCATTAATATTCCTATACTTGTAACTTGTGGTAGGATTCTTTTCTACAAAAGTTCCATTTGCAGTGTTACATCCCTTTTTGGTTCATTTCTTTCAACCTGCATGCCCGTTGTGGTCTCAGATTGCTCCCATGTTGCATTATTTAACCAATCAAAAATTTAAATTGCTCTGGGCAACTAGCTGAGGACAGAGAAGATTGGAGCAAGGTTATTTTATAAAAATAGGATTTTTGTTATTTACCAAAAATGCAGTGCTTTGAGGAAGAAATGTAAACTATTAAATGACTGTGGAACAAAGTTCCTCTGCTCTGCTCAGGTAGGTGACTGATGGTTTATAGTACAGGGTTCATTAATATCACTTCGCCATCACAGACATTAATATCATTTTCCATATATCAGTAATACTGCCATTAAAGCGAGGCACCTTGATCTAGTTATGGGCTAGACATCCACAGAAGCCAACTGCCTCTGGCATATTGCAGGCTAAATATTACAGAAGCAATTTTCTGGTGCACACCACAATCAGGGCTGAGATGTGTGTGTAATTGCCACTCATCAGTTATTCGCAAGTAGAAGTAGGAAGCTGGGATTCATTCAATTCCTACTGCGGTTTCCCTTTCTCCCCAAACAGCTGATTGGTGGGGTTCTAACTTCTTAATTTATCTATGTATGCACAGTTGTTTGGCTGTTGCACACATGTTCTGCTGGATCAAAAGCAAAATCATCCTGCAAATTGGAAGCAAACATCCAGTTACCAACATATCGTCCAATAAAACTGACTAGTTTTAAGCAGCTGCATGCATTAAAAACATTCTGTTAACTAATGGGCAATATCCAACTGCATCATGCTAGCAGAACTCTGTCAAACATTCTAGTTGTGCAAGGGCTTCCGCATTGAATTAGTGGGGCGTGTGCTGATGGAACACATGGTGTATTCTGAAAGTGGTTGTGTAAACGAGCACAAATGGTTGTTCAAGCAGAACTTTGTATTGTCCCCTTCCTCATAGCCTGTAACCTGTTTTTTGCCAGCTGAACTTTGCTGTAGTGAGCAGTGACTGAGTATAACTGCCCACAGTCTATATGTCATTCATCCATTTCATAGTACACCACAGCATTGGCTTGGCTCCAGGGCCAGCAACCGGCTTTTCAAGCATCAGGCTGCTCATAGCGCCCCTTCCCCTCCTCAGTGTAGCTCCATCCTGGCTCACATCGGGGCTTTGCGAGAGTGTTGGTAGCATGACTCCCTTATTCGCTTGTTCTCCCCATGAGTACCCATGATGCTGAAAGGGCACAAAAGAGTTGCACCCTGCTTCTTCAGTCCACCTCCCACTAGGAAATGGAAGATGAGTCATTAGCCTGCACATGATTTCCTGCTTCCTGGTGGACCCAGGGCATGACTCCTTCCTGCTGGTTTTAGCCCTATCAGGGATGGGAGAGAGAGTCATCAGACATCTAAATACCAAAAAGAACTATTAA